CCGGGAGTCTGCGAATCTCGCCTCCTGCCCTGTCTGCGTGTCGCTGTGAGTGGGGCCTCGCAACGCCACAAACCGACCCGGGTGGGACGGGACAGGGGTTGCACGTGCGACATGCGTCCCTCAGGACAGTCCACACTGCAGTCTCGCTGGGTCCGTTGGCCCTTGGGGGCTCATCGCCTCTGAGCTCCTCATCCTCGCTCTTTTCATGATAGTCATCGTCGGGGGTAGCCAACCCTCGCATGATGAGTCTGGCTGCGTCGCCTGCCTCAAGAGGGGAGGCTGTGAGGTTGACGCAGTACCTGAAGGAGATCTGGTGTAGAATCTTGGACAGTAAAGGCTGGTGCTCGCCCTCGCTGGTGATGGCTTGGGCGAGTGTTGCTGGGTCGTCTGGGCCCCGTATGGTGTGCCAGACTAGGGCGGCTGCTGGGCACCAGTGCCCGACATGTTCAGTGGTCGCCTCGCCCATCCCGCAGAGCGGGCAGCGTCCATAGAGTCCGACTCTGACAGGTGGCCCGAGCTGTCCACCCGAATTTGTGTATGAGACCGCCTGCCCCCTGAGAGGGAGTGGTAGGACCTCGGGGGTAAGGTTTGCCAGAGGGCGAAGGTGTGCGGGCCCGCCCCGACGCAACTTGTACACCAGGCCGCTCCCTCGTCGTTCGGCCCTGCCGTGATCCATACTCTGTTGGCCGGTGCCCCGCAGGTGCACCTGTGGGGGATTCTTTCGCCGTCACCCCGGCGTCTTGCCGAACCAGGGAAGCAATTGCAGAGGATCCTCATCACGTGGTGCGCCGCCGTGAAGGTGGGGCAGTGGCGAAGCAATTGCCACTCTTCCCCTCTGGAGGGCTGCCATCTTCTTCTTTGGCTGGATTTCTGGAGCCATACAGTGAGGTGTCGGCTGTTCATCTGGGCCCAGGCCGCAGTGTAGGTGATCCTGCCGAAGCGTTTGCCCTCCAAGAGGTGGGGTTGCTGCACAGCGAGGAGCAGGGCCCGTGCGGCCTGTCGTTCGGTGATCATCTTAGGACGCCGGGGAACTGCCTCGGGCGTCTGTGCTGCGCGGGCTCCCCATTTCAGCAGCTTGTTCCATCTGATGCTCGCTCGTTTCCGAACGGTGCTGGGGCCCCAGAAATCGTTGAGGACGAATGCTCTAGCGGCGACCGCGCGAGCCGTCGCAACTGGGCACCTGGGGGCGCCCGGTACTTGGAAGCGGATGCCAAGCCCGGTCAGTACGAAGTCGGGACCCAGGATGCCCCCGCCAGCCCAAGAGCAGTCCTCAGCTGGGCTAGTAGCTCGCGCTCCTGTACCAGGTCGGGGGGGGGGCATAGTGCGCTGCATAGGGGGCCAGGGAGATCAGGTAGGCGTTCCATGCGGCAGCCGTCCGGGATGGCGACATCTTGGCAAGGTGCAACGCGAGAGCTCTCCCTAATTTTGGGAAAGGGGCGGTTCCACGTGCCTTTGCAGAGGGCCTCCTCCCACAGGGGCGTCGGTTTTGGATGGGCTGGTGGGGATATTTTTCCGTCGCGGCCGCAAGCGGAAGCGCAGGCGGTGTCCGAAATCAGCCGGGCTACGAGCCAAACCTAATCACCTAAGCGCGGGAACTAACGGCCGCCGAACCTGCCGCCGAGGGACGCCGAGGAGCGACGCCGGGGACTGAAGGCAGAGCTGCAAGAGGTGCCAGAAAAGCTGGTTGGGATACGCGAAGCGTCAATAATTTCAAAAGTGGAGGGCGGGCGGTTTTCAAAAGGTGGCTCTCGCCTCAACGCCACGCGCATTCGTTTTGACAGTTTGCAAGAGTTTCGCGGGTTGAGGGCGGGTCGTTTTCAAAATATGGCCCTCGCCTTGGCAACGCGTGCGCTCGTCTTAAAATAGTTGCAACAATTTCATGGATTGAGGGCTGCTCCTTTTCAACATGTGGCTCTCGCCCTAGCCCCGCGCAAATGTATAATAATCGCAAGAATTTCACGGGTTCTCATGGCTAACGTACTAGAAACGGTGTTTTGGAGCGATTCACGACTCAGGGCGCAGCAGTTCCGTTGATCCGTGGTGTTGATGTCCCGGGATTGGCGTTGTAGCACGGCTCGATCGCCAAGACACAACAGTCAGGCTGATGAGTGGCGTTGAAGTTCCGAGAATCGTGTCTCGGCACGCTTCAGGATCTTCAAACGGTTGTCTCCCAACGGGACACTTTCCTCAATGGGCATGAACCCTTGCATGGGGCCTACGAAGAGGGAGCTTGGGGCCTTTCGGGGATCTTCTGACCAGGGTCAATGCCAACCCGGGCCAGTCGGGCCTTGCGGGATCCTGCAAGATCCTGCAGGATCCTGCAGGATCCTGTGCCCAAGCCTGGGTCAGTGCACCCCTGACCCTGCAGGGTCCTGCAATCTCCGGCGCTCTGGCGGACCCCCGTTTGCATTGACCTCCGTCTCAAGGCTCCCGGTCCTTTTCTCTTAACAGCGCCGGCCCCTCGGCTCAGCAGCCAAGCTCTGAAATCAGCGGACCGCAGTGCCGACGGGCTTCCTCGGGGGGCACCCGCAGGCTCTGGTCTGCAGGTGCTGCCCTCCCAGGGCCGCCGAGGCATCCGAAGGCAGCTGTCCCACAGATCGCCAGCTGGCAACGTCGGGGTACTTCGCAAGGCTTCGAGATTGAATCGAACTTGAGCCGAGCTTGAGTCTAACTCGAAAACTGAGCTAGATTCGAGCTCGAGTCGAACAGGTCCGTCACAGTCGTCGCGCCGCCGCGGGGAGCGCCGAGTGAGGCACAGAAGGGGCTTTTCTGGACACGGCGAGCCTGCTGCTGCCCGAGTCTCTCCCGGATCTGGGGGGCGATCGTCCTGGATCCACCGCCCGTGAGCCCGTCCCCCCTTGCACCGCACCCGTGCTTGCGGCCCTCTGGACGGCAGGCGTGGTCTGATGCGGCGAGAGGTCCACGCGATGGGCCTCGAGGAAGCCTGCTGCCGTGCGTAAGCTGAGCGAGTAGCGCGCGTGTCTTGGCACCTGCGCGAGGGAGCGGCGGACAGGAGGAGCAGGAAGGAAGGCAGCGCAGGGAGGCGCAGCAGGTACAGGACGAGCAAGCCGAGGAGGGGGTCTCCTCAGGGCCATCCTGTGGCCTTCTGTGGACCATCATCACTGGGGAGAGGGGCAGGGGAGGGGGTACCTGGGCGGCCCGGGGAGAGGAGCCGTGAGGGCAGCGATCTAGCAGAAAAAGGGGGAGTCGGGGCGGGGCGGCGGGGCCGAGGACGAACGACGACGGCGAACGAACGAAACGAACATTTCGGGCTCCGAGCTTTAGAGCATGCCTGGACAGGAGAAGAAACTCAAATCCGTCAGGCCCCTTGGGGGCCAACAGGCTGCGTGGGCTCGACCTTCCTGCACCCTGCAACAAACCCAGCTCCCAATGTGTAAATTATAGGCATTCTCTTTTCTAGTTCCAAGATGGAGCGATTGAAATCCGAGCGAGGACCCTGGCCGAAACCCGCCGATTATCACTTCAGAATCAAGTGTTCTGAATTTCTGGGAGTGCCCCAGCACACGTACAAATATTGACATATCAGCCCCCGAAGCCACAAGCCTTTGTCAAATACGCCATGTTTGCGCTCCCGATGCCACAGCCCCTCGTGCATAGCGGCGAATGCACGTACCCCAGGCCGCAATCCCTAGTAAGTTGTAACAGATTCGTGTCCCCTGTGCCACAGCCACTTCGTAAATTACGACAAGGTTGCGCCCGCGAAACCACAAACCCTTGCGAATCATAGCGAATTTGCGCACCCGAAGCTATAACTAATTGTAACTTACAACGAACTCGCACTCCCGAGATCAACGCGCCCCGTACTTTATAGCAAGTTTGCGCCCCCGAAACCACAATCTGTTGAATATCGCACCATCTTCGCACTCTCGAATCGACAAGCCCTGATAAAACGCATCATTATCGCGCTCCCGGAGCCACAATCCCTTGCAGCGTGCGACAAATTTGCCCCCGAAGCCATACAAATCCGCGCTCCCGAAACCACACACTCTTGCACATTACAACGCAATCGCTGTAAGCTGCGACCCGTGGACAACTGCGACGAATTCGCGCTCCCGACACTCCCCGGGTAAATTCTAGCAAAATTCGCGCTCCCGAGGTCACACTCCTTTTGAATCACGGCGCATTGGCGTTCCGAAGGCACTACCGCACGTAAAATACCATTCAATGGCGCTCTCGAGGCCACCACCCCTTGTACATTGAAACGGATTCGTAAGCCCGCGCCCATGAGGCTACAATCCCTGATCACTTGCGGAGGATTCGCACCCCCGAGGCCACAATCCTGCGTGCATTTTGCGCTCCCCAGGCTGTGAATCCACGCTCCCCTCTCCAGAGCAGGACGACTGTCTCTCAGTATTGGGGAATATGTTCGGGAGTCGCTTTTCGGCCCCTGCGCCATTTCCTGGCACTTCGGCTCTGGACCCCAAGCCACGAATTCACCAAAACAGCTAAGGGTGCGGTCTCCCCACGCCGCGAACCCTCGCACTTTGCCTTGGAAGCGCGCTCCCGATGTCACCACCCCTTCTTAATTACCACAGATGCGCGCAACCAGCCAGCCAAGCATCCAAGCAACACCAACCGACAACTTCTTATAGACAACGAACCATCAACCAACCGAATTGCCAGCCAGCCAGCCTGTCAGCAAGCCAACAATCGAACCAACCGAACAAACGCAGCCATGCAATCGGTCAGGGTGGGGGCTGGCAGCAGAGGGCGAAACTCTTCAGATTTCTGAAACTTTCTACCCGACGAGTCCACTTGGACCCAGCAGCCTAAGGCTCTCGAGCTCCATACGATGACTCCCCAACGTGCCCCGTCCGTGCGGCGAACCGAGGCGCAGACTGGTACCCTTCAGAGGGGCAGGCCCTGCACTTCCCTGTGCGGCAACTTGTGTTTTGTGATCGCGAGCATACCGTACAGAGATCCCGACAGCTTTGCCGACTGAACTCTTCGTTGTGACGAAAGAGGCCCCCCCCTCAGGCCTGCACAAGAGCGGGTCGTTCTCAGCGTCGACCGCGCCCCCGGTGCTGCCCTGGCCTCCCCCGTCCGCTCGGGCGTCGATGTCGCGGCGGTTGGCGAGCAAGGACTGGTTCAATTCCTTCAGGAAGGCCAGCCGTTCCTGGCCGCAGCCCGCACTGGGATCTTTCAATCGCGCGAATTATCTGCACGGCCTGGGCCATCCCAGAAAGACTGACCTGAGCAGCCTGGAAAAGTTGAGCGGCATTCGATCAATAAGCGCCGGGCCAACCCTTGCAATCTTGTGCATGCAGCTCCATGCTTGCGCGGGGGCTTAGAAATTGGCGCAATTTTCGGAAGGCTGCAATAACAGGCGACCGAGCCAGTGAACGGGAATTTCTGACCGATCCCTGCCTCTCCATAGTGCCACAACTGAGATCCAAGACTGTGCGCCCAGGCTCTAGTGGAGGCCAAGAGGGGAGGATCAGGGACGACTGTCAAGCTAGCACGCGGCTGTTAAAGAGACCACCGTGCACCTTCAAGTTTGGGACGCCAACTAATATGTTTCTGCAGCTGTGCCTTAGATTCCATCGAACATTATGCGACCTGCCAACCCGTGTGGCAACTCACGCGCTCCTCGATGGGGACTCTACCGTCAAGCGTCTGGAAAAGAGCGCGCGAGCTGTCGGACGTCCCCAATCGCATCGAAGCCGAACCCGAAGCTCTGGGGCGCACGATTGTGCGCGCGGCAGCCAGACACGGGGGCATTTCCTGGTGCTCAGGAGTGGCAGCTCACGACATCCCACCACTCCTTTGGGCGCAGATGGTCGAGTCTTTCCCCCAACCTCTCCCGGAGGTCAGGACCCAGAAGGGGTCGCGTGTGGGTGGGGAATCCAGGATGGCCTGAAGTGGCTCCAATATGGTTTGATATTGTTCAAGGTGACCTCCAAGATGACGCAAAAATGACCGAAGTCGGTGAATACTACCTCCAACACAGCTCTCAGAGGTCGCACGAATGCTCCAAGATGGCTCTGAAGTGGCCCCTGGACCTCCCAAGGACGTCAAAATTATACGCTTTGGCGGTCCCGCCCTCTTCAGCTTCCAAGCGCCTGAGGCTTGAACTTTGCTATAAGATCGACCCAAAGTGCCACAACAAGAGGACCGTCCAGAACCCCAAAGAGCATTCCACGAACAGGTCAAAATGGGCCATCGATGCACGTTTCCAAGCCGTAGAGGAGGGCCCCACAGGAGCTCCGATCGTAAGGGGGCACCAATAAGAGCGCCCCAGGATAACTTCGGCGGTGGACAAACCTCTCTCTGGTAAACCACCCTTTTAGTGAAAACGGCCGAAGACCGAAACCGACGGACCTGTACCCGCAAAAATGACGGCCGCAACGCCCTCTCGCGAGCCGAAAACGGCCAATTCGCTAATCGACGTGTCAGGGAGGGAAGTATATCAACCTCCAGTGATTCTCAGCCACGCCGGATTTTTTTGGCATGTTTTGGTGGCTGCTCGGGCTGGTACCTCCCTGAGCCCGACCTGCGCCCTCCCATGTCCCACGAATGTTTCACGGTGGACGGTTTCCCCCGGGGCCGTAGGCGACCCGAGGAGGGGAAGGCGAGAAGCGGGAGGAGGAGGAGGAGGAGGAGGAGGAGGAGGAGGAGGAGGAGGAGTAGGAGGAGGAGGAGGAGGAGTAGGAGGAGGAGGAGGAGAAGGAGGAGGAGGAGGACGGGTCGCCTAAGCCCTTCGGAGAAACTCTCCAGGCCTGACCTGCGACCTCCCATGTCTTACTAATGTTTCACGGCCTCCTTTCTCACGACTGCTCGCGTGGGAATCGCTTCTGGATGGGCCCGGCCCGGTGGGGATGCGCGGGGCGCCAGGGATCTCCCCCAAGTGCGCCGTGGGAGCTCGTCAGAGGAGCCCTGCCTCTCGGCAGGCTCCCGGCCGGTGGCGCTGGGAGGCAGCGCTCAGCGCGATCTACAGTTCCGTCTCCGCCCGCTGCGAGGGGGAGGGTCGGTCCAGAGAGCCAAGGCGTCAATTCCCACCCCCTGGGGGACAGAACCCGCCGTCTCTGCAGGCGGCTGGCTGCCGTGTCCGCAGGTCATCGGGCCAGCGCGCGTGCCCCAGAGACGCGCGCGTGCCGCTCTCTGCCAGCCCGAAGCGATCGGCGCGCCCTGCAGCGTGCACCCCTCGCCTGCCCTCGGCCCCCCGCGCGCAACCCCTGCTCCCAGCACGCATCTCTGCTCGAGCAACCGCGCGGAGAGCATATGGTGCCAAGGGCAGGGCGCGCGGGGAGATACGCTGCCGACAGTGGATGTGCTGCGGGCCACGGGTGCCCTTTTCGCGAGATTCCCCAATCCACGAGGCCACGATAAGTCAGCAGGATGGGGAACCCCACATCTACTCCGAGCCGCCCGCCTCTCTCTCTCTCTCTTTCTCTCTGTATTTCTCTTTCTCGCTTCCTCTCGCTCGCTCTCTCTCTCTCTCTCCTCAGGGGGCGTGTGCGGCGCACAAGGCAGAGGCGTGCGGCACGTGTAGACCATCCAAGCGACTCCACGACTCTCGGGATGATCTGCAACCTCCCACCTTCATGCGACGCCCCCCCGCCGCTCGTGCGACCGTCCCCGGCTCCCCAAACCGCGTCCCTCTCCCGGCGGGTGGCGCACCAGCACCACCTCCGCCAGAAACGCTCGGCGTGAGAAGGCCTCCGGCCACGACCTCTCCAAGCCGCCCGCTGTGTGCAAACACCACTGGTGGGATCTCAGCCCTACAGTGAGGCCAGTCCACAAGAAACCTTCCAGAAGAAGCCCAACCCTGAGACCCCAGGACGTCCATTGATTTTTGGTGTAGGAGCGTCGCGCTTTCCACAGCAAAACCATCGAAACCCAGGAAACCAAGGACACCCTGGAGGCAAGCAGGGTGTTTCTTGGCATGGGTCTCCACTGTATGGGTCAGCAGGTACCAGGAGGCACCAGAGACGGAGGACGAATGCCCCGATGGGCTCCGCCTCGGACAACCTGGTCAGCGGCCCGCCGATGCCGCCGCCCCCCCTCGCGCTCCTCCACCTCCGCGCGGGACTTCTGCGAAGCGGCGAGCTGCTTCTCGAGGCCCCTGCGACGGCGTCCTCCCGTCCGTCCTGGCTGCTGCCTCAGACCCTCCCCCTGGCCTGCTCTTGCTTGCTGCCTGGAGTGTTCGCTCGAACCCCTGTGGCAGTGGTGGTGGTGTCTTCCTGTCTGCCTGGCCGTCCGTCCGTCCGTCCGTCCAGGAGGTAGCTGGGCCCAACATCGAACAGAGGAGCTCCGAAGTTGAGCTGGCTGGCTCGAAGCTCAAGCGGACTTGATCTTCGGAGTCTGAGCCCAGCAGGCCTATGGACGTTCCTTTCCCTCTGATGTGGGCGCGGGGAAGCAGTTATGGTGCAGGAGTAGAATGAGGTTGTCGACAAGTAGCAACACCGTGAGCAGGAGGGTGGTGGAGGGAGGCGGGAAGCGTTGGAGGTACGGGTGGGGAGGAACAGGGATGCGGGCGAGGCAGGTCTACAACGTTCGAGGATTGACAGAACCTTCTTTAACAAAACGCCTTTTAGTGAAAGCACTCCACGGTTGCGCGGTGTCGCATTCCTAGCGCACCTGGGCGCAATATCAAACGGACGCTCCAACGCAGCCGAATTTTTGAGGCATCACACTCGTCGATTAGCCCGACTGGAGACTGCACTGGTACACTCGAATGCCGACGTCGAGCGAACCGGTGCAAGTTTCCTCAGTCGACTTGTCTGAGTGGGCGTTCTCGCACTGCCCGACAAGTGTCCCCTCCCCCATCCTCCCTCCTGTAAGCCAAGGTGCCGACGCACCAACGGCCACGTTCAAAGGAAGGTCGAACTACCCACTGCCCCTTCCGCCTCTCTTCCGCCATACGCCCCTCTCTCTCCACACGCGCGCGCGTTCCAAATCGCTCGGGAACGAAATTGTCAACCTCGGAAGTCGTGACTACTCCCAATCTCGTCCGCTGGCTTCTCCTAGCCTTCCGCCCTCCTTTTGCCTCCGCTAGCTTCCGTTGGACTTAGGCCGGGAAGAGAGGCCACCCCCATCGATCCCTCCAAGGCGAGGCCCTTCTGTGAGCATTACGCCAAGAGGAGGGTGGGGGGCGCTCGGGGCAGGCCGTCCCCCAGTGAGCCCCGCGCGACGGCGACGACGTCGACGGCGAAAGGATGACGACGACGGCGACGACCGCGGCGACACAGACGATGGCGTCGACAGCGACGACAGCGGCGACGCTGACGGCGGCGACGGCGGCGGAGGCGACGGCGGCGCCGCGCGGCGGCGGAAGCGACTGCGGCGGCGGCGAGGAGGAGCGCCTCCGGCGCCCTTCCGCCTCTGCCGCCCTGGCCTCCAGGCGCCCGCGGAGGGCCTGCTCCTCCTGCGGGGGGGCTCGCGCGGGGCGCGGTGCCGCGCCCGCGATCGCCGCCGCCGCCGCCGCCGCGGTCGCATTCGCCGCCGCCGCCGCCGCGGTCGCATTCGCCGCCGCCGCCGCCGTCGCATTCGCCGCCGCCGCCGTCGCGGCAGTCGTCGTCGTCGTCGTCGTCGTCGTCGTCGTCGTCGTCGTCGTCGTCGTCGTCGTCGTCGTCGTCATCGTCGTCGTCGTCGTCGTCGTCGTCGTCGTCGTCGTCGTTGACGTCGACGTCGACGTTCAAGGATCGCTCCGTGTCGCGCCTGAGGGGCGAGGAAAGGTGTCAGACCAGGGCGCGGAGCGGGAGGGGAGATGGGGGTGAATAGGGAAAGGCCTGCGTGGTGGGCGGGGGATGACGGGGATCGATCTGGGGGACTGGCCCAAGGGGGAGCCCATCGAGGCTGAATCGTCGACATCTCGCCGAGATCGGCGATATGCTCTCGACAGCGAGTCCGTGCGCTCCTGCGCGGGGTGGGCCATGGGGCCCCCCTCGGCGATGAGTGGGTGATTTTGGGGTCCAGGCATTCCCCCCGAGCCTTTTCCCCCTGACGTGGCCCCCGACAGAAGGGCTGAACCTGTCAGGCAGAACGTTGGCTCGGGGCGGTGGACGTCTCCGGGAAGAGCCCCACGATCACCACGATGCGGCAGGTATCGCGCCCCGAGCCCCCCAAAGGGGAGATGGTCGACCAGAGTGTCCCGCGGACCCGCTCGCGCCCGGTCTGGTGGGACCTCTCGGGTAACACACCCGTCCAGGGCGAAGTGCGTCTGTCTTCGGAGCCCCAGGACCACTGTGATGTTGTGGGGAGTGGGCACTATCCCCAGGAGTTCGAAACAGCGTGGGGGGCGCACTGAAGGCACCCTCGGGGCTTCAACCAGCCTGGGAAGGGTGCTGGCAAGAGACTTCGGGCGCTCCACAATGTATATGTAACGTTTCTTATCAACTAAGAAAACATACACCGCAAATGAGTACACGAAGAAGAACAGCACGTGCAGGACGATGGTAATGAAGCCGAAATGCACCAACTCAGTCGCCGAAGAGAGATCGACGAACGCGATGCACGCCGCCGCAAGATCGGCCGTTCACGCGGGTCCGCCAAGGCTGGGGCGCCTCGCCGGACGAGGCTCGCGCGGAGGTGCGCTTCTAGAACATGCCTCTGCGAAGAAGCGCCTAGCACCGAGCCGACTCGTCGGGCCTCGCCCCCCCCTTGACTGCTTGCCGACTATATACGTCGCTGGAGGGACAGTCCAGTTGCGAGGCCTATACAGTGTCTGATCGTAGTGGCCGACGCGGTTGCGATCACAGCGTTGACAGCACGTCCAGCGTCTCCTTGAATGGTCCCACGATCACGCCGACTGGGTCATGCTATGCACGGAGCCCAGCATATCTACCAATGATTTTTGACCATGTGGTCAGAGGATGCCGAGTATGACCAGCTCTCGCAGTGGTGATCGATGGCGTATGTGGAATTGTTTCGAAAAATGGTGACCACCAGTAACGGTCTCCGACATCTCCACTCCATGTCCCACTCGGCAGCTTCATGAAAAACTCGCCCTGGTGGTACCCCTCTTTCCGAAATGAGAAGTGAAAGCGAGGAAATGGTGGGGCGGGAATCTACTCTGCCTCGCATCGGATGTGTCTGGGTCAGACTCTGTGCTCCAATGGCCCATAGCAGATGGATCCAGCAGGGCCCAGTGTATTGCTCCAGAGCCCAAGACCGAACGTCCAAGGTTTGCCCTCTGCTCGTCATTGCACCCAGGACTCGCGTGACCTGGGCGCTCCCGAGCGTGAGCACGCTGGAGTGAAGGCGTGCCCACCCCCGCCTCTCGGGAGCTCCGAAGCCCCTTCGGGAGGATCGCCGGGTCGAAACCTTGAGCAAAGCAGACTCCAGACCAAGCCGCTGTGGGAAGAAAGGCAGCTGGAACGGCAACGCGGACCTGCAACTGCGGAAGCTCCGTGACGTGTGCCAGGGCCCCACCAGCTGCAGTGGAGGCCAGTCCACCAGCAACCTTCCACAAGAAACCCAAGCCTGAGACCCAAGACGTCCATTGATTTTTGGTGTGTGGACGTCACGCTTTCCACAGCAAAACCATGGAAACCCAAGAAACCCAGGGCATCCTGAAGGCAAGCAAGGTGTTCCTTGGCATGGGCCTCCACTGTACGGAAACTCCGTGCCGTGTGCCCTGGCACCACCAGCTACAGAGCCGGCCCGAAAACAGAGGAGCGTGAGGCCTGGCCGAGCTTCGGCGCGGTCGTCAGCCGCCAGGGACCGTCCCGAAGACTCGCTGGGCGTTCGTCCCACTGTGGGCAACAAGTTGCTTCTTATCCATGCCACGTCGCTCGCCTCAAGTCCCCACCCGTGGGGAGAGGGAGGGAGGGAAGGACTGGGGGAGGAGCGAGGACCTTCTTTTCCGATGTCGCATTTTTTTTTTCGTGACGGGGGCTCTGGGGAACTTGACCTCCTCCCCATGGCCAACTCTTCATTCCGAACCGCTTTTTGACGGCCCAGGGGCCGTGAGACGGCCCCCCGAGGTCGAACATGCCGAACAACCAGTAAAGGTAAAGACGATTTTCTCGCGGCGCTTTGATACGAGGGCAGGCAGGTCGAAGAATTTGTTTCAGCTGCTTTTTTCATTGGGGTGCTTTTGCTTCTCCGATGCAACGCCCACCAGCGCCAGTGTCTCACGGTCACAGCATGCCTGTCGGGAAAAGGCCAGCAGAGCCCGGGGGGTGAAACGAGAAGGGTCACATTCGTATCGACTCTCTCGTATGGAGCCGCCGCCAGAGAGCAAAGCAACGAGTCGCGAGCAAGTAATCAGGAGCACCTCGCCGTCGCACCGGGAGGGATCCCTGCCGCCAACCGACGGCGACAGGCCCCGGCTCCTGGATCTTGGCGTGCTCGCGCTGCAGCGCCTCGGGCGGGGAGGGGCAGAGCGGAAGGGGGCAGGACGGGGGGGGGGCGACGAGGCCTGTGACGGGGGACCAGCTCGGGGGGGGGGGGCCCAAGACGTGGAGCTGGAACATCGGCGACACGTCGCCGATGGATCGGCGACACGCGCCCGAGAGCGGCTCCGCACGTTCCTGAGGAGGAGGAGGAGGAGGAGGAGGAGGAGGAGGAGGAGGAGGAGGAGGACAACGAGGAGGAGGAGGAGAGGAAGGAGGAGGAGGAGGAGTAGGAGGGAGGAGGGGGAGGGGGAGGGGGAGGAGGGGAGGGGGAGGGGGAGGAGGAGGGGAGGAGGATGAGGAGGAGGAGGAGGGGGTGGGCCATCGGGCCCCCGTGGGCGAGGACCGGGCGATCGGGGGTCGATGCGTCGCGCCCCGGGCCTGCCCGCGTCCTGCAAGTGACCTCCAGCCTGGCACCAAGAGGCCGCAAGACTGCTCCACGCCGACTCGGAGGCCATGCCAAGGAGGTCCCCGAGGAGGCCACGGCCGTCGAGGGAGCACCACCCCTCTGGTCGTAGGTGTTTTCGCGGGCCAGCTCTTCTCAGACAGCCCCGGCTGCATCTGTCGGGCGAGGCTTGACCGTTTCTCTACGTGCTGACCGCGGTTGCCCCCTTCACAATTTGGGTGGCCTCTGGGGGCCACTTCGCCTTGCCTTGCCTTGCCGAGGCCGAAACGGGGGCGTAACACCCTTCGTCGGCCCTAGGGCGCACCATGGTCTACACCAACGACGCACCGTCCTTGAGCCGGCACGCTCAGGATTGGTATTCCTTGCTTCGCCATGGTCTCGTCCAAGCCTCGACCAAGACGGGATCTGGCGACCCCTAATGGCGTATTATGTGGCTTCATTTTGATGTGTGACCTCTGTTGAAACATTACAGCGACCGCTATTCGAGAACAAATGGCACGCGCACTCAAGAGGCTGCCTGGGCACAACTCGTGGACTCCATGGATAGGCCAGGCTTCCCCAATACGCGCAAAGGTGATCGGCGAAACCAGGGTTCACGACCGTCAGTTTCGCTCCCCAGCTGCAGTTTCAAGATGCCCACCTCCCCTGGCGAGGCGCAAACAGGAGCAGGGCGGGGAGGGGAGGGCCTTCCAAGAAGGAAACGGGCTTCTTACCAGGAAACTGGAACACACACTTTTTCCGTCAACGGCGAGGCGGCGAACTCCGCTCCAGCGAGAAGCTAGGAAGGGACTCTAATCCCACCAGCCCTCTGGGCGTAGGTGGTTCAGGGCGGCTCCTCTTCCAACCCCCTTTCTTCCCCTTCGGGGAGGGGTTTACCCCTTCCCCTACCCCCTTCTCTGGACTTGGACGGGGGGGCGCGAGGTGTCGGAGCGTCCAAAACGGCCTCGGCGAGGAAGCCCAAACCTGACCTGACAAGAACGGGAAGCGACCGTTCGAACGCTCGTTGCAGGTGTGGCATCACATGGGGACGTCAAAACTGGAACGCTTGTGTGAACGAGGTGACGGTATCCATTGTCGAGTTACGCAGTCAGAGGAGCAATCACGATCATAATGTAGTCGGCGTGGAGGCCAGCAAGAGCGCTGTTGGAATGACGACGACGACGAGGAGGAGAAAAGGGTCGACGGCTATGATGGAGGGAAGATCGACAAGAACGGAGAGCAGGTGCATAAAGCCGAGGAGAAGGATGAGCGCTGGCAGCAAAATTGGAGATGAGGGCGATGCACGTTGCGCGAGCGTGATCCCATGAGCTCGACACTGCACGGCGGGTGCTCAGCGGCGCGGACAACACTGCACTGCACATTGCGCGAGGGTGGTCCATGAGCTCGACACTTCCAACGTGCCACTCAACTCTGTGAACTGGTACTCGTGGGCGGGTCGCTTCACGCAACGGTCCCGGAAACCTGGGAAGGGTCTGGGCCCCGGGACACGTGGCAAGGGGGCTGTGATCTGATGAGGAGTCGAGGTCCTCGACAGTGCCCCATTATGTTCCAAGACGCTCCAAGACGGCCCATTATATTTTGAATACGACCGGAGATAACCCCAAGACAGTCCAGCAGGCCTGTAACATTAAGCCCTCTTGGATCCCTCGGGCGCCGTTTTCGGGCCTCTTGAGCTGTCTTGGGGCTGTGTAGCCCGAATTCGGGATAAGGAGATGGAGTATCTAGTGACCGTCAGTCCATCCCGCCACCGTGCCGGGGTATTGAAAATGAGACGAAGTGAAAGTTCGTTGTGCTCTCTGAGGAGGCTTCTCGCGGGCCGTTTTAGGTCCTCTTGGGGCCTCTTTTGGGCCTCTTGGAGGCCTTTTGGGGCGTCTTGGGGGTCTCTCGGGGGCCTCTCGGGACCTCTTGGGCGCCTCCTGGGGCCTCCTAGGGCCGTCTTTGGGCGGGATGCTCCGATGTTCGATTCGGGCTCTCCCTCTTGGGCCCCTCTTGGGAGCCTCGTGGGCCTTCTTGGGAGCCTCTTGGGCCGTCTTGGCGCCCTCTTCGGCCGTCGTGGGCGCCTCGTGAGGATCTCTTGGGCCGTCGCGGGGCGGTCTTGGGGGACTCTTGGACCGTCTTCGACGCCGCGAAGACGAGAAAATCGTGTATGATAAACATAGAAGTTTTCCCATAGGAATTAGACGATTTTGGCCTCGGCGAGGAAACCCAAATCCGCCGACCCCTTCTGGCTCTCTAGGCGTGTGAGATTATCCCCCCCCATAATCTCCCCCGCGGGACTCCAAACCGGCAATTCGACCCCCCCCCCTCGCCCAGCGCGACCCCGGACCGAACGCGCCACGGGGGAGCGGAGGGCTCCAAAACTCGCCAAGAAGGCACCAAAACGCCCCCCAGACGGTCCCAGGGGGCTACGATTCGCCGAAATATCGCTCTGGACGCCCACGATGGCCCCCAGGCAGCCTCCGAAGCTGCCAAGACGCCCCAAGAGGCCCCCAAGATGCGCCCCCAGAGGGTCTCAAGAAACAGAAATCGCACCTATACCCTTCGAAAAACAAGCATTTTTCGCATGCTCGCCTATTCGGTTTTCACAACGTCCCAAACGGGCAAAGAAACCTTCAACATCGCCCCCAGGCGGCCAAACGGTCCCCAAGAAGAGTCGAAGAGGGTCCAACAACAGCCCCCGAAGCCCCCCAAGACAGCCCCTAGACGGCTCCAAGACGGAGCCCAGAGGGTACCTTTTCGAGCCTTCGACCCCCAAACGCCCCCAGTCTGCCCCAAGAACAGCCCAAGAGACCCTGAGGGACCCCCAAGAGAACCTCAAAGGCTCCCAAGAAGCCCCCAGGAAGCCCCCAAGAGGCCCAAAAACTTTGCCCAAGATGCCTCAAGGCGGCTGGATATGGCCTGCAGACAGGCCAAGATGCCACCAAAAGGCTACAAAAGAGCACCAAAAGGTACGATCACAACAACGAAGCAACAGAAACGATGTCGAGCGCCGTGCCATGATTCGGACAAGCCTCGTGAAATGCAGTCCTGGAAGCGCAGTAGTTTATGTAGGGGTCGGCGGATTTGGCGTAAGCCTATAGAACCATTGGTTTTACTAAGGTGTTGGCCACATGTGGGCCTCTTGGGGGGGGCGAGGCTAATTAAGGGACCCCCCTTCTTTGATCGATCTCCTCCGAGACGAGCGTTCCCAAGGCTCCCAAGGGTGCCCAAAGAGGGCCCCAAGAGGTGGCCAGGAGGCCCCACAAGGCTCCCAAGAAGCCTCCAGGATGCCACCAAGAGGCTCCCAAGAGACCCCCAAGAGGCCCCCCACATGCACCCAAGACGCTCCAAGAAACCTCGGCGACAATGCCCAAATCACTGATTTTACAACAGGTTTTGGCTACATTTTGGCCTCCTGGGGGGGGGGCGCTGCTTCATATGAACCAAAAGCGCCTGGGGGAGCCCAAGATGACCTCCAAGATGGCTGAAACTATCCCCAAATGCCTCAAGATGGCTCCCACGGTGCTCCAAAAGGCCCCAAGACCGCTCAAAGAAGGCTCCAAGTGGCCAAACAACTCCCCCAGGAGGCCCCGAAGACGCCCAAATCCTTCCAAAACCTTAGGACAATCTATGTTTTTGGACTTCTCGCCGAAGCCTCAAGAGGCGCCCAGGGAGCCCCAGGAGTCCCCAACAGGCGCCCAAGAGGCCTCCAAGAGGCCCCCAAGACCCCCAAGAAACTCTCCGAGGCACCCAAAACGCTCTAAGAGGCGTCCGGGACCGCCAAGAGGCCCCCAAGACGCTCCAAGAGGCCTCCACTGGGGGACCCTTCCTCTATGTGATGCCCACATCCCTGATTGAGGCACTTTCTCTGGGCATAGGTTCTGGATGGGCTGGTGGGGCTACTTTTTTGCTCGCGATCCGATCGGAACCCAGGGAAGTCAGGCGAGGTGCCTCCTTCGGTGTATGGGAAGCCCCCCGTGGCCTTCTGGAAGTGCCCCTCCGGGGTAAGGCCGATCAGCTCTTCGTCGACCTTCTCCTTTCTAGCCAGGCGCACGAAGCGATCTGGGAAGCAGGTGTCTGGGTCTAGCTGGTGTGCGCGGCGAGCGGCAGCCATGGCGAGGGCTGGCTGATCAGCTGCTGTGTTCGACCCTGCGGCGAGCGCTACCGCCTGTCCGCGCATGAGTGTGCCGCCCCAGATGTCGCGCGTCGCAGTGGACAGCTTGGTCTTGCCTGTGCCAGGAGGGCCGTAGACGACAGTGACGTGGTGCCTCACGCTGGCCTGGAACGCCCGCCTGGCGTCTGCATTGAGGCCGTGGCGGTCTGCGCCTTGTTCCAGGGTCTCTTGCGAGGGCGTCGTCCTCGCCCTCTGGAAAGCCTGCCCTACTGTGGAGCCTACTTCCTCGTCTGAGAAATCGGGGACGTCCAGGGGCTGCAGGGGCACGTGCCGGATCATGCCAGCAGCCTGAAGGGCTTGGATGTCGGCGTCCAGAACAGGGGGCTCAAGCGTGGCAGAGGCTCCCGCCCGTAGGTACTGCCCGACCCTGCCAGTTCTGGCGGCGTCGTTGGCTCCAGCCTTGACCTCCTTGGGGGCGGTGCGGAAGGTGAGCAGGTAGGTGATGCTGGGCCGGGGTAGCCCGAAGATGTCACCAGGATGCTGGTTCAGGAAGTAGATATCGTTGAGGGCGCTCGACTGCCTCCAGTACTGCCCTTCCGAAGGGGCTCTGTCCACTCTGTACCAGGGTTCTCCTTCTTAGTCTGGCCGGGGCGCCTTGGTGGCGTCGCCGTGGGACGGGCCTTGCCTGCTGTGGTTGTACGACACTGTGCACCTGCTCGATGGATACTTGGTGCCGTGGGGGAGCCTGAGGGCATCGCACTCCCGCGGCGCTACATTCCCCCCCAGGACTGGCGGCCACCAAGGCGTCACCTCTGCCACCTGATCGACCATGAGGCCCTGCACCGAGACCAGCAGGCTTTTGGCGTCCTGCGCGCTCCCCTCGCCCTTCATGCTGATGCGAAACTTGGGCGACCATTCCAGGAGGAGGAGGAGGAGCTCCTTGTCCTCGCCTGTCCACAGACTGTTGCGTAGGGCGAAACGGTCCAGGTCACTGCAACTGCTGCGGACGTGTAGCTTGGTGATTCGGACCCCCAGGGCGACGTTGCCTTTCCTCGCAAGCTCCGCTCTAGCCTTCGGGGTGCCATCATTCGGCGTCTCCAGGGCGGCGCGTCCCTCGATCCAGGCAATGCGCTTCAGCGTGAGGCCTCGGTCCCGCAAAATGTAGGGCCACTGGGATGGGAGAGACACAGCGTCGAACAACTCTCCAAGCGGGACGGTGGGGTGCACACGGGCTTGGCTCAGGCCACTGGGGAGCGAGAACATGTCCACGACTTCGATCGCTGCGGTGAAGGCCGGAGACTCAAGCACGGCTCTACTGCCAGGGTCGGGTCCAGGGGGGCTGTCGCCGTCGTCGGCTAGCCTGACTTTGCGAGTTTGCTGCTGCGGCTGGGCCCAGGCAGCTGGGGGGGCGTTGCTCCCCGCTGCTGGAAGCGGTGTCGCCGTCTGACCTGGGTCCGGGCTGCGGAAGCATGGTGACCACGGGCGAGGTGGACTTTGCCAGGGCGGCGGTCCGCACATCCTCGTCAGACTTCCGAAGCCTCCACTCGTCCGCTTCAGCGCTGCTGATGTGGGCTGGTCGAACCTGCGTCGGGTCGAACATCGTGCCGCCAGGACAGGTGTACTCCACGGGATCACCCGCGAGCGGGTAACTGGTAGGCACGTGGAGGCAATTTTTTGGGATCAGCCCAGAAAGCAGCCGAGTACCGTTGACATCGATGGGCTAAGCCGGCGCCCATCCTGCCCAGGCCTTCTTCTCGACGTAGCACTTGTGATCACCGTCCCAAGTCGTGCCCCAGGTCATGGTCCACAGATTGCCAGGGGATGTAAAGGTGCTGGGGTTTGGCCACCAGTGCCCGTACTGTCTCGATCCCTGCCAGAAGTGTCCTGCGTCGAGTAGGTGGTCAATGCCATCGCACGCTTTCTGACACAGCCCGCAGGACCACCCCCGCCTTCCGCCGAAGTACGCCCACCGCATCCAGGGACAGTATCTCGCCAGGAAGACACGCACTCCGTTCCTATGCGGGGGCCCGTCCTCCGAGCAGGGGAGGCATGACGCCCACCTTCTGAGGGGCCCACTGTGGTTCGGCATACCAGGAAACCAGGAAGCAGCTGAAGGCTGCACTCTCTGCGAAGAGACCACTGCGACCTTAGCGAACGGGGGCGGCTGGTGGGGATACGCGAAGCGTCTATAGAATTATCGAAGTGGCCGGCGGGCAAAGAGAAGGGGGAGGGAAGGCCGAGAGGAAAAAGATACGCTCAGACGTCGAAGAGTTCGACGATGAGCAGCCGGGGGGGGCAGCAGCAGCCAGGCGCGCAGGGCCAGAGCGCGGAGGGCGGCCGTGGCGAACAACGGTGGCAAGGGTGGCGGGAGGGCGGCTGCCAGCAGCTGGAGCTGGCGGGCGGGCGCAGTGGGACACCACGAACGGCAGAGGTACCGCGGCGCGCCGAGTAGGCACAGCACTGAGCCGTGCGGAAGCGGGAACGGTGGCAGAGGCAGTGACAGGAGTATTACACACATGTGGCTGAGTTCACGTGTGGAACCTGCGGAGGCCTCTCGCTAGACACGACATGTCGGGGGTCGGTGTGCATTGCCACACGAGGGCCGGGTGCTGGAACGACGTGCGGCCACGTGTGCATCCAGCTCTCGCCCAGAGCTCCCCTGCACGTGCGTGGGAGGGCTCGGAGGCTGCCGATAAGGCCTTTTAGAAGGCGAGAGCTCTCCCACGAGGGCCCCGTTACCCTCTTCGAGGGCGGCCCTCCTCGCGCCGACCCCTCTGGGGCGCGCGGCCGCTGCCGCCTTCGAGTGCTCCTCCGTCAGCTCCGCCAGCCCCACCTCGTACAGGGAGCGCTGGTGGTCCAGCTGCGACCTCGACGCAGCACGCCGCCGCTGTCGGCCCGCGTCGCGACGGCCTGCGCGCTGGCTCCTGGCGCCGCGCGGATCGTCCAGCCCTGGGCGACCGCGGCCATCCCGGCGGCGCAGATCATTTCATATCGGCCGACTCGTGGGCCACCGCCCGCGTTCAACCTGGCATGCCCGCGTCGGTCCCGCCGCCGCGCCGACGCTACACGAGCCTGCCGTGCTCGAGGTCAAGCTGGGGACGGGCTGGAGGGGGACATCCCAAGCACTCCCGAGGCCTTCTCGGGGGACAGTTCTGAGCACTCCAGTTGAGAGGGCCAGCGTACTCATCGTCCCGCCCACCCAGAGAACTGGCGCTCGTCGTCGTCGTCGTCGTCGTCGTCGTCCGTTTGGGCCTCGAAGCGTGGAACCTGGAGGGGAAGGCGTCCGAGCTGGTTCGCCTCCAGGACGTCTAACATGGCCCGCAGGAGAGCCCCAAATGGCCGCAGTATGTCTCCAAGACGGCCTACGATGCACTGACAATGACCCAATACAGCCCAAGACGGCCGAAAAGCCCCCAAGAGGCCTCCGAGAGAGCCTCCAGGGGAAGCCAGAATGGAGATCTTTCCTCCTCCTCTTCTTCTTCCTTCCTCTTTCTCCCCGACATGTTTCCCGAAACGTTTTCACAACGGCTGGGGGAATCCTTGATCCGCTAGATTGGCCGAGCTCTGACCACGACGTTCGGCCACATAGGCACTTCCAAAATGCAGGGGGCGGCGGTGATTCGCCGTAAGCGTCTTCGATTCTGCCGCCCCCTTTGGCTTGCGACGATGGTGCTTAGCGCGCCAAGTTTTATACTTCGTTCAGACTCTTCCACAACATTCCCCATAAAATCTGGGCCCAACCCGCCACCACCGGAAAAAGCGCAGCCCGCGGGTTTCTCCGCTCGAAGTGGCTCCAAGGCGTCGCAGATTGGCCAAGATGGTCGCCAAGATGGTCGCAAGACGCATCCAAAACGGCCCATTTTGCTCTAACATGGCCCCAAGATCGCCCAAGAGGGCCCACGAGGATCCGAAGAGGCCCCCCAAAGATGGTCCAGGAGGTCTTCAAGAGAACCTCCAGGAAGGCCCCGAGAAGCCAAACTCGCTCATTTTCCGCAAGTCTTTGAGAATGGATTCCAGCGTTTGCGCGTCCTCGGGCTTCTGACAACCCTGGAAGGCCCGCGATGCCCCCTTCACAACCCTGGAAGCCCGCGAGGCCCTCAGACGGGCCAAGACTGGCCAAGAGGCTCCCAAGAGGCCCCTTCACAGGGCTCTCAGTATGTCCCCCCCCGAAGCCCTCGGGAACCCCCAAGAGACATCCTCGTCTCCTCCTCATCGTCCTTCTTCCCTTCCCTCTCCTCCTCTTCCTCTTCATCATCTTCATCCTCCGAGGTCTTAGGTCGGGCATGTCCCCCTACAGGCGGATTTCGGACGAAAAACAAAACATACCAACAAATGCTCAATTACGCTACCGAGGAACCCCACATACTGATTTTGTGTCTTGTGTGAACCGCGCTACCACTACCACCGCCGTCACGCTCTCAGGTGCCCCCTGTGGTCGTTGAAAGGAGGGGGAGGACGTGTGGGGGGAGAGGAGGGGTTGAGGAGTCATCTGTGACGGTCATATCCGGCATCGCCTGGCACTTGGATACGAGAGTAATACGCAATCCCGCACTAGAGGCTATGCCTGGACGACCCTGGCACGCATAGGGAGACCACCCCCTGCGCACCCCCTCTGGTGTCGAGAAAATGCACGCCTGCAATGCCTGGACGACCCTGGCACGCATAGGGAGACCACCCCCCGCGCACCCCCTCTGGTGTCGAGAAACTGCCACGCCTGCTATGCCTGGACGACCCTGGCGCGCATAGGGAGACCACCCCCTGCGCACCCCCTCTGGTGTCGAGAAAATGTCACGCCTGCAATGCTTGGACGACCCTGGCACTCATAGTGAGACCACCCCCTGCGCACCCCCTCTGGTGTCGAGAAATGCCACGCCTGCAATGCCTGGACGACCCTGGCACGCATAGAGAGACCACCCCCTGCGCACCCCCTCTGGTGTCGAGAAAATGCCACGCCTGCTATGCCTGGACGACCCTGGCACGCATAGGGGGACCACCCCCTGCGCACCCCCTCTGGTGTCGAGAAAATGCCACGCCTGCTATGCCTGGACGACCCTGGCACGCATAGGGGGACCACCCCCTGCGCACCCCCTCTGGTGTCGAGAAAATGCCACGCCTGCAATGCCTGGACGACCCTGGCCAGAACGCATAGGAGACCACCCCCTGCGCACAAACCCCGCTTGGTCGAGAAAACGCCAACGCCCCCTATTGCCCTGGACGACCCTGGCACGCATAGGGAGACCACCCCCTGCGCACCCCCTCTGGTGTCGAGAAAATGCCACGCCTGCAATGCGTGGACGACCCTGGCACGCATAGGGAGACCACCCCCTGCGCACCCCCTCTGGTGTTGAGAAAATGCCACGTCTGCAATGCCCTGACTAACCCTGGCAGCGCATAGGGACCACCCCGCCGCAACTTCCCTTCCCTCTGGTGTCGAGAAAATGCCACGCCTGCTATGCCTGGACGACCCTGGCACGCATAGGGGGGCCACCCCCTGCGCACCCCCTCTGGTGTCGAGAAACTGCCACGCCTGCTATGCCTGGGCGACCCTGGCACGCATAGGGAGGCCACCCCCTGCGCACCCCCTCTGGTGTCGAGAAACTGCCACGCCTGCTATGCCTGGACGACCCTGGCCTGCATAGGGAGACCACCCCCTGCGCACCCCCTCTGGTGTCGAGAAAATGCCACGCCTGCTATGCCTGGTCGACCCTGGCACGCATAGGGAGACCACCCCCTGCGCACCCCCTCTGGTGCGGCGCGGCAGGGAAGAAAACCAGAACCCCACGAAGTGAGGTGAGTGTCGCGGGTGCGGCGCGGCAGGGAAGAAAACCATAACCCCACGAAGGATGTGGGGAAATATTAGAAAATATGTGGAATATTTTTATTTGTGTGTATTTTGTTTGTGTGTCCCAGTTCCCCTTCACACCGAGGAGGACATTGAGCCATCTCGCGAAGCAAAACCACGCACGACATCGACTGATGCACGTGGAACGGGCGTCCGGATGGCGAGGGCAGGGTCCTTTTCGATCCGATCTGGTTTCGGCCATCTCGATCCGATCCGAACCCGATGTTCCGACGATCCGAGGCGGCCCGATGCTTGCATGGCGCTGTGATGCATCCTGACGCTGCTGGCCCGACTCGATCTCGACTCCATGCCGATGCAGCCTGGACCGATGCAAAGCTCGACTCGATCCGGCCGATCCGCTGCTGACTGATCCTGCCAGCCTGGGCCAGCTGGGGAACCTGCCGGGAGCGGGTCCCGCGACGGAGCGGCCTGAAGGGCGAGGCAGGAGGGCGCGGGTTCGTCTGAGGGGCCGCTGTGCCTGGCGCATGGTGCGCGGCGGGGGTCCGCCAGTGGGCCTCAGAAGCCATCGAGGTCAGGGCCATGCCCGGAGCGAGACCCCCCCCCCTCCCCTTGGGCGTTGCGTAATGGGGAAAATAGATGAGGGGGTGGCGAGGGAGGTCCGAAAAGGTGCCCAAACGGTACCTAAACGAGCTCCCTGGGGCTCCCGAGGGGCCGGAAAAGGGCAGGAAAGGGCACCGTTTCCGACCCCACCCATCCCCCCATCAAGCCGCACCCCCCCCCCCCCTTTCCGCCCACTGTCGACACGCCGGGCACGAAGACGTTCCCTATATTGGTCAATAGGCGACGATCGGGGCGAGTAGCCCAGGGGAGGGCAATACTCGGGTCGGGCGAAAGGGGGGGTTTGGGAAAGGGGGGGTTACGAAATTTGCTGCATGTAGCTGGTTTCGGCCCCACCGAGGGGCCCATTCCTCGATACATAGCCGCCTCCGGCGCCGGGAGGCGCCGGGAAAATCAGCTACGTGAGCTGATTCTCAAACCCCCCCCTTTGCTATCCCCCCCTTTCGCCCGGCCCGAAATACGTGTATCCAGGGGCGCCGGTGAGCTATGTCTTGGACGAGGCTCCCGGGCGACTGCATGTGATGCCCTCCCCTGGGCTGCTCGCCCGCCTCGTCGCCGCCGAATGGGGCTCCCTGCCCTCCTCCTCCTCCTCCTCCTCCTCCTCCTCCTTTTCTTCCTTTTCTTCCTCCTCTTCCTTTTCTTCCTCCTCCTCCTCCTCATCATCCTTTTCCTCCTCCTCCTCCCTCCTTTTTGCTCCTCCTCCTCCTCCTCCTCCTCCTCCTCCTCCTCCTCCCCCTCCTCCTCCTCCTCCTCCTCCTCGAGGACCGCGGGGCGGGCGCCGAGGCCCGCCGGGAGGCGGCCGCCCTGCCGCCGCCCGCGGCCCCCGGGGGCGGCGGCATCGGCTCGGCCCCGTGGCGCTCGCACGCCGCGCCCCCGGGGCTCGGGGGCGCCGCGCCGCGCGGCTGGCGGCTGGAGTGCCTCCAGGACTCCTCCTCCTCCTCCTCCTCCATCCTCCTCCTCCTCCTCCTCCTCCTCCTTCCCCTCCTCCTTCCCCTCCTCCCTCCTCCTCCTCCCCTCCTCCTCCTCCTCCTCCTCCTCCTCCTCCTCCTTACCCGTACCTCGGCACGAACGAGATGGGCACGGAAAGAATGGGCACACTGCCCAACAGCAGTTCCTGTTCATTGTGAAGAGGACTCGCTGCCCGCGCCGCCGCGGCCTGTGTCCATTTGAGACGGAAGGCCGCCTGCCCAACGGCGGCCGCGGTTGGTTGGGGACAACATTTGTTGTTGGGCATTGTGCGCAGTCTTTCCGTTCCCATGTCGGGCGTCCAAAAGGACGGTTCCCGTGGGCGGCTCGAAGAGATGTCAGGAAGGGGAAAGTTCACACACAGGCTCAAGGAATCGTCGACTCTCCCGGGAACCGTGGGTGGCGCAGAGAGATGTCAGGAAGCGGGGAAAACACACACAGGCGCAAGGGATCGTCGACTCTCCCAGGGACCGTGGGTGT